TAATATATTATTATATATAATAATCAGGTGTTACTGTCCCTTTAATAAGCATGCTGTAAACCCCGCCTCTTTTCTACTTCCGCCTTGGTCCCGTCAGACTCGACAAATCAATACCCGATTCATCGATGATCCGCTCAGTTCCCTCGACCCGACTCATAACACCCGCATCGACCATCCACTCCTCTGGCCTTGGCTGTAGACTTCGCCCGATGCTGTTTTGTTGTGTAGCTATCAAAAACATCAAATCATGCCCGGTGCGACAGCCGCTAAAATAATGTCTTTACCGTGAACGTAGCCGCCTAAAGTCACCTTTTTAAACGTATGTACGGGCTGTTAACGTAGCTATCCGCCTGAGGAGGACTTTAAACGGGATTTCCCGAGCAGTGTTGTTGTGCCGAGGCCTTGTCGCAAACCCAACCCGCTCACCGAGTCTCTCTCAGCCGTCCGGGGTTTCATGTTGAAGTCGTCCGGTCTTTGGTTAGGATTTAGTGTTTCCCCCGTCGGAAGATGGAAACTGATAAATTCAACTATGCTTACAGCTGTGACTTGGACATCAACGTTCAACTTAAGATGTGAGTTTTTGTGGTTAAACGCGTCGCTTTAAGTCGAGCGGTGTAACTAATCTATCTTGTGACTTGACAGGATGCTTCCTATGTTTGTGTGTGTGTGTGTGTGTGTGTGTGTGTGGACGACATGTGTCTCATTAACATGTTTTGTCTGCATTAAGCTTTAAATCGTGTTTAAATCCACATATGTATCACTATAAATCCCAGAGAGATGTGTTGAAATGTGTGTTTTTTTTTTGTATTTTGACCTTGTACTGAAATAGTTTGTCAATTAATCTACTACTTAATGGACAGACAGGTGATTAATGGAGATATTGTTGCTGGTTCTTTATGATTTACAGTATTTAATCAGCTGACAACATGTGGAAGATGTCACTTTAGGCTCTGGGTATTTGTGATGGACATTTTACAGACAAAATGATTCATCATCTACACATTAATCGTCAGTGAATATAATCTGTAAATGTATTTCCAGTCAGACGTACAGCTGGAAGAAAAGTTGTGTCCCAAATGTGTTCAAAACTAGTTATAAAAGCAATTATCATAACTGGAATACATTTCTAGAAAGTTTCACTAAAAGTAAGTGATTTGAATTAATTGACTATTACACCTTCTTCTTTACAAGGTTTTACTAAATAACTAAATACATGTTTATATATTGCAGCTCTTCTTCAGTCTCTCATCTGACTCGCAGCAATCGTCAGTTTTAATGAAAGACATCTTAATCATTCATTCATGCGTTCAATCTGCATTAAGGACAAAAGGAAAAGAAAGAATGTAGATTCTCGTGTACATTAAGGACTCATTCGTCCTGTCATGTGTTATATATTAGTAGATTAAACAGTATTAAGCCGAACAAAAAGTTCCCAGTACACGTGAGGCTGTTTTTAAGTTGTCATAATCACTCATTTCTCTACCACCACAGACTCTAATCTTTCTCCTTTTATGAATTTAAATACTTTAGAAAATAAAATCGACCCATTCTGTCAACGTGAAATAAAGAAAACACTATAAAAAACACAAATTTGACTTATTTGTGAGAGGAATGGATGCTTGTTTCTCCCCCTTCCTAACCTCCCTACCTTGTCCCTTCCAGAGGCAGCTTAGAAGGAAAACGAGAGCAGAAGAGTTACAAAGCCCTGCTCGAAGACCCGATGCTGCGGTTCTCCGGCCTCTACCAGGAGAACTGCTCGGACCTCTACGTCACCTGTCAGGTGTTTGCTGAAGGAAAACCTCTCGCCCTGCCCGTTCGCACCTCGTACAAAGCGTTCAGCACACGTTGGAAGTGAGTGTTCATCTGTCTCCTCCTGTCTGCTTTCACTGTTCTCTTTGTGACATAAAATTAAGCCACTTTTTCCCCCAAAATGTCATACATATCAGCTCCTCAGACCTTTATCACCCTCTTCTTACACTGTCCTGTACTGTCTCTCCATCCCCTCTCCGTCCCCTCCTGTGCAGCTGGAACGAGTGGCTGCGGTTGCCCGTCAAGTACCCAGACCTCCCTCAAAGTGCCCAGGTTGCTCTCACAGTGTGGGACATCTACGGGCCCGGCAGAGCCGTCCCCGTCGGGGGAACCACCGTCACCCTGTTTGGCAAATATGGGTGAGTCTAACCTCGCACTAGAGAATAAACGGTTTTAGGAAGGTCTGTGTTTTGCTAGACCAGCTATTTCGTCACCTCACAAACCTTCTCCTCTCCGCTTTAGTATGTTCCGGCAAGGGATGCATGACCTGAAGGTTTGGCCGGGTGTGGAGGGGGATGGAGGGGAGCCCACCACCACACCGGGACGCACCAGCAGCAGCCTGACAGAGGACCAGATGGGCAGACTCGCCAAGGTACAATACTGTATGTGTGTGGACAGGAGAACAGGGCTGAGGATTGGAGAGAGAGAGGGGAGCTGTAAAGGTGTAGGGTAGGAGGAAGGACACGGAAGGACTGAATGGCTAAAAGGATGTGGGGGGGGGGAGTTGTGTGTTGGATAAAGAGAGAAACCCTCCGATACAAAGTCGTGTCTAAATCATCTGTTCCAGGGCCCTGACCTGGAGGTACTCAGTGATGTGAGTACAAGTGGAGGAGTTAGTGTTGACAATGCAGAATGTGTGTCTGTGTACTGTGTGTGTGTGTGTGTGTGTGTGTGTGTGTGTGTGTGTGAAGAAGACCTTGGTCCAAACGTATTTGCAAATAAATTTCATTATCTTCTTTTCATGACCAAATTAGAACAATTCAGACTGCGTCGGGGAAGTTCACATTACATAAACTTAAAATAAATCCCTGAACACTTTGCATTGTTCTATGTGGAAACCCTGTTTGTTGTATAAACCCATTTAGTGCATTTACAAATACATTTGGATCCAGGTTTTGGTGTGAACACTCGTCTGTGAAGGTGTGCGGCTGAAAGCATCACACACATTGGTTTTTTAAGTTTTCTGCCGTTGCCATACATTAGTGCAGTTTGTGTACTTGTGTGTGTGTGCATGTTTTTCTTTATGTGGATAAAAGACAATTATGTTTCGTCAACTTGTTGCAGCTTTTTTGAATATTTAGAGGATGACGTCAGGGAGATCATTGCACTTTAACATCTGATTGGGTTTAAATCATTTATTTCCTAAAACATACTCACTGATTCACATTTTTTACTCATCCAGAGTGCAGTCGACTTAATCTGTCTCAAGTTTTTTTCTAGGCTGCTACCAGTTCATATGTTGTATTAAAGCCTGAGTACTAATTCTAACCAGCTGAGTTGTGGGCTTCCTGTTCATTGCCACATGTGTGCTTACATTCCCGACACCCACACTGACTGATGAGTGGATTGGCTGCGAGTGTGACCAGAGATGCTGGATTGGCTGCTGGCACTGGATTTGTGCATGATTGGTCGAGCTGTTTGCACATCAGCCACCATGCTGTGACCAGTTCTGCTGCAATAGAACCTCAACCTCTGTATTTTTTATTTTTTTTTTGTTTAAAAACTTTTTTCTTTTTCTCGTTTTCCCTACCCTCTTTCTTCCTCTTGTCTTTCTCTGTCCGTCTAGCTGACAAAGGCCCATCGACAGGGCCACATGGTGAAGGTCGACTGGCTGGACCGTCTGACCTTCAGAGAGATTGAGATGATCAACGAGGTGAGTTGGTTGCCTCCGTAAGTTAGTGGAGGTTTAACTGTTTGCACATGTCATCTGCACATATTTTCTAATTGTCTTTTACTAACTTTTGTCTTTTGAGTTCAGTTTAAAGGTTTTCTTCATGTATGTTTCTGCAGAGTGAGAAACGCAGTTCTAACTTCATGTACCTCATGGTGGAGTTTCCACGTGTCAAAACAAATGACAAGGAGTACAGTATTGTCTATTATGAAAAGGTATTGTCGTGTTTATAAGCACATAACAACGTTCATTCTAACATGTAATATCCATAAAGCCGGCAGCGGTCTGTATTATAACACTGGAAATGCTGATTGGTGTATTTCACCATGTCCCCACTCAGGATGGAGATGACGCATCACCCGTCCTTACCAGTTGCGACATTGTCAAAGTTCCTGACCCACAGATGGGGATGGTGAGAGGACACACACTCAAACATATAAACACACTTACAGTGTAGCAAAAAGTTAGCAGTATTTTACAATTCATGGTCTGTCTCTCTCTCTCTCTCTCTCTCTCTCTCTCTCTCTCTTCTCTCTCTCTCTCCAGGAGAACCTGGTTGAGAGCAAGCATCACAAACTGGCTCGCAGCCTTCGCAGTGGACCCTCAGATCACGACCTGAAGCCCAACGCCGCCACACGTGACCAGCTGAATGTAAGTAACAGTCTAGTTTTTATTCCGTATATAATCAAATCCAGTAGTTTTCAACAAGTTCACATATATAGCATCTCTCAAAAAGAGAAAAAAACTGCTTTTCAAAGGTGTCCGCAGTTTCAGTCTCCTATAGTTGAAGTCTGGAGCTAAAAACCAACCAGCACAGTCAGTGGGAGACAATATATTGTTGACATCCCCAGTGTCATGTGAAACTAGTCTAAACATGATGCTGAGTGAATCATTGCTTCTATTAAATAAAGCAGAACAGATTCCCAAATGCTGAGTAAATAATTTACTTTTTTGTGGGGAAAGGACATAATTAAGCAATGAATAAGCGCTCTAGAAGGATCACTGCGGATTATTTGCTTCGATTAACCGCTCTGGTTTTACATTTATGGGCATATTATGAATTTTACAGATGCTTTGAATGTAACTCAGCTCAGTACCAGAACCGACTGTTCTAACATACACAGATAAACATACTCAAGGATCATTCCTCTGGGTGTTAGGCTCAGTTGAAGCTATTTGATATTAATGATCGAAGCGTTTCTTTCCTTTTCCATGTAAGTCAAAGTGTCTAGTCTTTGTTTTCAACATATTATCCCAGATGTAAGATATTCAA